TTTAGGAGAAGTGTAAAAGGCGTATAAAAATCACTGGCCTATTTCTAGTAAGTCCATTTTACCTTGAAATTTACGTTTGTGTAGAATTGTGGAAAATCCTTAAATTCAGTCTTAATTTGGAAAACAGTTTTCCACTGATGTTAAAAAGAACTGACTTCAAATTGAAACAGGATTTAAGATTTTTTTCACAATTCTGAATGAACTTGAATTTTATTAGAAAATAATAATAATCCATGCATTTGATATAGTGCCTTATCATGTCTTCGAGATGTCTCAAAGCGCTTCACAGAATATACTTTATAGTGAATTGACTGTATATTTTATGTGCAAAACGCAGCAACCAATTGCGCCCAGCAGTGTCCCAACAAAGTGACCAATTTATTATTATTTTTCTTGAAGGAATTATTACCCCCGGAAAAGCGATCCACCAATCGACTAACAACTGGGTTCCTATTTACTGCTTGGTAAACAGAATAAGGAAACTTGCCTAACGTTTTGCCCTGCTGGGAAATGAACCCAGGTCTTTCCCTTGTGAGGCAAGTGCTCTAACCACTGAGCTATAAGACTGGTTGGTTACTGATGCACAGTAACCAGTGATAATTGTCATGGTTAAATACATTGTGTCCATTGTTGAGACAAATACTACTTGGCAAAATTAACTTCGTATCAATTACTAATATTCAGAAATTTTATTATATCCTTGTAGTATTTGACCAAGATAAATTGCCTAAATAAATGTATCATCATTCAAAATGAACTAAGATGTTGTTTGGTGACCAATAGGTCAATGAGGAATGCTTATCTATTTTTTAAAAAAACAGAAGCTTCAACATAAATAACTAAATCATTTATTTACAAACACAAATTTGCAAGTGTTTTGGACTGTGTGTAGTTATGTTGAGATTGTGCTTTGAACTACTTCAGCTTAACAATAGGTCTAGTATTTTCCAATCCAAACCTCTGGATATTACAATCCAAATACTACCATTTTTATTGAGAAACCTGTCCACAATAATCCATCTGCAAATGGGAACATAGCAAAGAGTCATTTGTAAATGGTTCAATGTTATAAGCCACAGCATAATTACAGACAGTTTACATTTGGCACGTTGTGCTTATGACTGCATATTAAATTGGTTGAACTCTTCTTTAAATACAAAAGGTATTTAACAAAATCTTATTAAATTTTAAATTTGCAAATGGTTTTACAGGCTAAAACTAAGCAATGTTTCGGGCCTCAGAAGAAAAACAACTTCTACATTAAAATAAAGTCCCAATCTAACAAAATCTTTACCAATCCCTAATTTGTTCCAGATGACAAAGGCTTAGCAATTCTGTAATGAATGCAAATCTTTGTGGATATATATGTGCATATATTTGTGGAGTCCTGTAGCTCAGTGGTTAGAGCACTCGCTTTGCAAGTGAGAGACCTGAGTTCAATTCCAGGCAGAGGGCGAAACCTTGGGCAAGTTTCCTTACTCCACACAGAGCCTAATAATAATACCTCTAAAAAAAACAAAAACAATAATAAATTGGTCATTTTCAATCTACGACTGTTTGTGGGACATTGCTGTGCGCAATTGGCTGCCGCGTTCGCCCACAAATATACAGTTAATTCACCTTACAGTGTGTTCTGTGAAGCGCTTTGGGACGTCCTCCCAACGTGAAAAGCGCTATATCAAATGCAAGGATTATTATTATTATAAATCTGGTTTTAAGCAATTTTTTTAAAGCAAAAATCCATTCTGACATAGCATCGCTAGTTTTGTATGATTTTAAAAACTACTAAAAATGAATTGGTTGGAACTTTGGTGCAGATTTTTATTCAGTTCAAAAGCAAAAGCGGCTTCACTGGAGGGGGGGGAAGGGGCGGAAGCAATTTTGCCATTACTTTGTGCAACTGCCCTGAGTATAGCCCCAGGAAAGTTAACATGCAGTAGTGATTATGCAATGTGAACTGAATTTCCAAACAGCTTGGTGCAAAGTGACAGATAATGGAATATGTAGAATTTTGATAAGAAAGCAATCAACCATAAAAAATATTTGGTCTTTATAGGTTTGAGTGCCGATTCAGTAACCCACCAGTATATACGGTTTGATTGTCTCTCCCCTCTGCTTTGTTTTGTTGTTAGCTGTATCAAACCACGTATATATTTTTAAAAATTAAAATGTTCCCAATGGATTTTTCCAATTTTCTTCTGCACTTTAAATTATATTGACAGAGCTATTAAAAATTAACTTCTTCTGAAATGCCGTGCTATGAATTGAAGTTAAAATATTTAAAATTCTACAGCAACATGGAATGGAACCAGTTAACCTGTTGTCAAGGTTACTCGTAATTCAACATTAATGCAGCAACATATCTGTCACTAATCCCCTCACACCCCCACCCACCCACCCACACATACATACATTTACTTGCAGCATTGTGGCATCTAGTTATCAGATGTGAATGGCTTTTGTTTTGTTGGTGTAAGGATCCTTAAGGTGTAAGGAATATGATTTACACTTAATATAAGTACAGTAAACTGAGCTATGGTCATTATTCTAACTAACATTATTCTAACATACATTGTATCCTATATCTTAAATCACATATCCTATTTATACTACATATTCAGAAAATAGCTAAAGTTAACAATGTAAACAAGACGTAAATGAATGATTGGATTGTAGTGTGGTCTCAGTGGTGAGACTTTTTTTTAAAACAGTGCATTTATTCTAAATTGTGGCTCCATCTCAATGAAATGCAAATACTATTCAGCAAAATTGTATCATCACATGTGGTACAATTACCATTATAATCTCCATAAGAACTGAATTTAATGATATAATTTTCTGAATTGTCTAAGAAAAGGACACAATGTTAGAACTGTTGCAATTCTTCACTTCAGAATTTTTAAAAACTTTTTATTACCTTTTATATTTCCAGTGTTTCAAATTGACAAACTATGATCATTAAGCAGAAGATGCAGTGGAATAGCAATTATCCACTATAGTTTTCTTGTTTACCTTCTGCTCTGCTTGGCTTCCAAAATAAAGAATTACTACATGGAGCACTATTGAAAAGGAGATTAAAGAAAAGTAAAAATCTGTTTACACGGGGAAATTCATCTACTACAAGATGGACAATGCTCTACTGGTTCTGCATTGATGATTGATTACCTGGACATTCTTAGTTGCTGTTGAGATGAAATGGCTTTCTACCTTCTGGAGACCAATGAAACGAGATAGAGCTTCTTGTTGACTACCTCTTAGTTAGCTCAACCTGGCCTGTAAGGAATTAGGCACTATATAATGCTTTTAGAAAATGTGTTCTGTGCAATTGCATCTTGTTCTCTTCTGATGCATAGTGTGTGAGATTTTAGAAATTCTACTGCTGATTTTTTTTCCCCTGAAAACTAAGTAAATGCTCTGAGACACTGCCCTACATGAAGAGCGCTATATAAATGCAAGTTATTGTTGTGAACGTTCACGTACTATAATAATCCTTGTATTTAAGAATAATCCTTGCACTTAATAATAATAATCCTTGCATTTGATATAGCGCTTTTCACGTCGGGAGGAAAGCGCTTCACAGAACACACTGTAAAGTGAATTGACTGTATATTTGTGGGCGAAACTATGGAACTTCAGTATGATAAGATGGTAATGTGAATTATTCACCAAAGGGGTGTTCCTCCTATTATGACAGATCATCAAGGATCCACCTTTGTAGTAGTATTCGGCTTTTTTTTAAAAGGCCTAAAGAATATGTAAAGATGAATTGATATGTGGCTTATAGATTTTCAAATGTGATGGAAAATATTTTGATCGTTTTGAATTCTTGGCGAGTCGAGGCTATCCGCAGAGTACCGTCTCCTTTAAAATCAAACAGCGAAATGTCAGTAATCATTTTTAAAAAAAAGGTCAGTAAAATATTTATTAATGTAGTGCCTTCCAAGCTCTTATTTAAGAAGACACATGCTCTTTTTTATCATTAAGTACTCTGTCAGTCAGCTCCTGGGATCACCCGCTCACCACACTACTGCAGAGTGGTCCCAGGTGGCCACCTGCTTGACCGACTGCTCCGCTAGAAACTCCAAGTGGTTTATGAGGTATTCGAGAGCTGTTGAATTGGACCGTTAATAGCACTGCTGATTGTGACTGCTGGAACATACTGCAAGCCCTGTTCCCCTGCAGAAGATGTGGAATGAGAGTCATGTAATACAGCATGTAGTAAAATGCTTGGGTATCGTGCTCGGCAAGCAGTATGTGGGAAACAAAAGCATACTGAGCAGCAGTCATTAGACGTGCATCCAGGACATTGCATCAAGTCAGATTTTTTGACATCTTGGACCCTGTATTATGGCTGAGGTGGACTGTTATAATGGATTTAGGCTTTTTCCATAATAGCATTGAAGCTATGTTTATCTGGAGCTTTTACAGGAGGAAATCGGGCTGCTGATTTTGTTCCCTGATGACTATTAACAGTGGCCCAAGGCTATGCTGAAATTTATATCCCATTTGTATTGTTGCAGCCCAAAAGAAGAATTTAAAGAGGATGACAAGTGCATTCTGAGTAGGTATGTTGGTGAGTCAGATATACCACATGATCCTTTTGTGTTTTTTTTGTACATGACTGATCAAATCTTACTGAAATAAAGGGTGTAAACTCTGAATAATTTACTGCTTCATTGCAGATCTTCTTACAGGTAGCATTGCTTCTGCATACCCTTATCTTACTGTAGCAGTGTGCTGGTAAACAAAGCTGTAATATGCTGCTTCAGAGAATCAGTCTGTGTGTTGCAGTCAGGGCTTTTTTCTAACAAGGTGGCACTATTGTTGAGCTAGGATGATAGAAGCACGTTATATGCTTCAGTCAGACAAAGGATTCAGGAAAGAAATGTCTTGCAGTCCTCTTCTGCTAAATACACCAATTGAAACATTAGCTTAAGAGCAGTGCCAGAATTATTCACGTGTTCTAAGCTGCAGCCACTGTGTACAGTCTGTCTGGTATGGAGCTCCTAGCTGGAAGTCTGTTACGGAAATGCTTCTCCCTGGTATCGTAGTATCTTTATAACAACATGCCATTGAAATGGAAAACGAGTAATCCCACTAACTGGAAATTCCCGGTTTCTGTGCTTAAACCATCTAGGACAACGACACTGACTCCAGCATACATGTAAGTTCATGAATATCATCTGGTTAAATTCCTGTTTGTTTTGTGTGTTGGTGCTCTGTAATGTAATATTCAGTAACATACTTTTTAGCCATAAGTAGTGGGTTGATGGTTTAGGACAGCCAGCTGGGATGTTATATTTTATCTACAATCCAGGAAGCATTGTATTTTTTTTGAGAGGGTTCTGCCTGTTTTTGTTGGTTGTTAAGGTTAGAATACCAGATCTAAATAATGCATTGTGCAGTGTTTTTTTTCCCCGGCATTTATGCAACGATGCCTTGTGCATTTCAGCACCATTGTTACCGATCCTCGATCCCTGCATTCCGTTTTTTTTCTATTTTACCGCTGTGTGCCACCAGGTGTCCTGGTTAAATTGTTAGCATTTTTATCTCCGCTTGTCCTCTTGGCATTTTGTACAGTGTGCCTTGGCACATGCATATGTGAAGAATCTTAAAGAGTTTTAGAGATTTGACAGTGCTTCCATTTTTCAGGTTTAAGTAAGGTCTACAGAGAGAAAAAAATAATGTGTCCTGGTGTTTGAGTGTGTCGAGGTTAAAAACAATTTTTTTCTGAAAAAACAAAAACAATCAAAAGCAAGAATATATGGAGATAAGGGTGATGTGGGGAAACCGATCAGTGTGAGGGAATACTTTGTGAAGACCAAGCCTTTCTCTTCTTTAACCTGGTTGCCGAGAACACTGATTTTGACAAATTATCATTTGTGAGCAAGCTTCTAGATGCCATTTTCAAATGTACAAAAATTTGTTGCCTGCTGTTTTTAATTTAAAAGTCCTGTAATTTGAGTCTTGTTGCTCTGCAATGCATGTTGTGTATGAACCTTTTTATTCTGCTTTTAAAAGATTAGCACGACTATGTAGGACAGTCTGATTTGTGCGTAGCAAATTGTAATATGAATTTGTTTTTGGTCCTTCCAAAACAAACAAGTTGCATTTAGATAGCGCCTTTCACATTGGGAGGACATGTCAAAGCGCCGGGCAGTTGAAGGTTTGCACCTGAGGTGGGGATTGTATTCGAGAGGGATGGGGCCAGTGGGGATGGGAAGATGACCGAAGGAAGGGGATCATGTAGTCTAATATATTACATAATATTAATGTAATTTTTAGTTTGGCTGAGGCACTCAAGATCGATTGCGAGTTGAATAGCAAGTCTATTACACATTTCTGACTCCCTAATCCTACCATATTTCCAGGGAACACTTCTCCGATGCTTGTCTTTTATTAATTCTGGATAGATACACGGTAACAAAATAATTTTCATTATGAAAGTAGTAGTTATGAAGTGTAATTCGTTTTGATGATTTATCGAGCATTTTAGGCTCAGAGTGAAATCCAGCAACTGCTCTTTACCATAATAAAATAGCCTATATGTTGTGAAAGAAAAGTTATATTTTCCCTAAACATTAATGCACATTACCGTCAGAAGGAAAGTGATGGGCTTAATGAATTTGTAAGGCAGTATTTACCCCACACTTGTAGAGGCATTAATTTCAGTTACCCCATTGTGTCAGTGTGCATATATTGTATGGTTTGCTCTTGAAAGTCCAATTGAGCTGTAATAAGAAGTAGAAAGATCTATAGTTAGAGTGTAGAAGGATAGGACTGAAAAGATCGCAGAAATCAAGCTGTGTCATGAGCTGCGACAATTTTTGCTTTTTTTAAGCAAACCTTTGTAGCAATGCCTTGTGAACTCAAACGTCCCTCTGGCTAGTCTTCCTTTTGTTCCTGGCTGATGTTTTCCTGCTTCCTCCCACCATCAGTTTTGCAGAGACAGGAAGCACTATTGGGCTGGGAATATCCTGGTATGCTCAGTGCCAAAGAGAACAGTTTTTAATTGGTGCTGAGGAGACGATGATGGATCACTTGACTTCTCTTCCATTCACTGCCTTGCTCTTTTGAGATTCTTGCATTGTTAACTGGGGGAGAGAGAGAGAGAGAGAGTCAGTGTGTAGATGGTACAGGCTCGGTTAATTAAGATCAGCATTAGAGAATTTGTTTTTTTTGAAATCTAGTGATTCTGTTGGCAAAGAAAACAAAAATTATTTGGTAGAAACTAGGATTCTTGAAAAATGATCGATTTCCACACTTCAGCACCTGTTATTATCTTGGCCTTGAATAAATTATTTGTTCCTCAATTCTAGTACATTAATTGGAATTTTCAGTAGTACCAGATCAGAGATGGATAAATATTTTTTCATTGTTACAAAATATAAACAAACATTCAACATGAAAATATTGGTATTAATATAAGTCTTGGCTGTTTTTTCCATTTTGGTGAACACATGGAATATTTTCAACTAATTATCTTCTTAAAAGAAGCACAATGTAGGAAGTACTTTGAATGATATTATTTCCATATTTTGGGTTTAAAGTGCAGCCTTAAATGATATGAAACACACTACACTATCTAAGGTGCTGGGCAGTTCAGGGTTTGCACAGAGCTGGGTGTGGGTATGAAGGGGTGGGGGATGAGTGGGGGGCAAAGAATGGCCGAAAACTTGGTCAAAAAGAAAGGTCTTGAGGTGGACCTTAAAGAGATCAGGATGGAGTCCTAGAGAGTGAGACCAGATATTTGGAAATCTAATCACCAATGGTGGTGCAAGTAGAGCGAGGGCTTCTGGGTGGCTGGGTTGGTAGGGTTTGAGGAGTTCGCAGTGGAAGGGTGGGGTTAGACCATGCAGGGATTTAAAGGTTAGAACTCAATCCTCTAAGGAATGGGGATGGTAGGTCCTACAAATCCCAGTGTATGAAAGTACACAATTTTTCTGGATAACTGTGCAGCTTGTGAAGGCAACAGGCAGGTAGTCTGGCAAGTAGAGTTGGCTTAATTCAGCCTGGACATGATGAATGTGTGGATTAAAGTCTTGGCAGTCCAGGGAGAGCTAGTGATGAAGATGTGCAATGTTATGGAAGTGGGGGGAAGCTGAACTGGGCAGAGCATGAATGCGAGGTCTCTCGATTGGGTGAAATCTAATTACTGAATTCTGTGGATATTTTTGCAGTGAATAGCCTGCTGCTTGATAATATTATTATTATAAGCATGTGCTCTTTTAAATCTTTTGCTCTGTTTATAACTGCTGTGCAGCAATATTCCTTGGAGGAGTGGAACAATATTGAGTGGACTTCTTCATTTGTACACATTACCCAAATGCTGAGTGAATTGTTCGGTATTAATTATTTCAGTGTTTTAAATGTGCCAGTTGCAAAACTGACTGTAGTGTTAAACATGGTCCTTTGGACTGTCAAAGTGTTTTAAGGAGCCAGTTCAGGTCAGAGTCTAAATCTGCAATATTTATACTGCAGTGGTGCAATCAATGTGCTGCCAAACAATCCTTCAAGGTGGTCACGGCAATAGAGTGTTTGGATGGATTATCAGCACTGTGTACAGAAGAGGAACAAATGCTGCCAATGTTTGTCAATTGAATTAGAAAGAACTACAGTGCAGTGAATGATATATTTTAGCTAAATTGTCTTTTAAAGTATTTCAAAAAAAANTTATTTACTGTGAAAATTGTGTGGTATAAAAGACTCCAAATGCAAACTTTTAAGAATGGATCCCAAAAATATGAATTTGCTCTTTTTCACTAAAAGAAAATCGAATGCTGCTTCTGCTTTTTAAGTGAGAAACCAAACCAAACTCATAGTGCAGGTCCCTTTGGAGCATTTGAGGGAGGTAAGGAGTGGTTGGGGGAGGTTAGGAGTGGTTGGGGGAGGTAAGGAGTGGTTGGGGGAGGTAAGGAGTGGTTGGGGGAGGTAAGTAGCTGAATGGACTTGAGGTCTTGGAAAGGAATCAGCTTGTTGGATTCAATTTTAACATACTGAATGTATAGAGAAGGGGAAAAGTATGTAGGACAACATATTTAGATCTTGCCATTTTGGAGTCTTTCCTGCACAAAAAATACTGTATTTCAATAATAGCAACGCAGTTACATTTATTAGTCCCTTTTATGTCGGGAGAATGTCCCAAAGGGCTGGAGTTGATTTAAGAAGTGTGCTCCATTGATTTAAATCTCTTTATTTCTGAATTGCTCTGTGAAGAATGGTGCTTTAATTCAGTTGTTTGTTGTATCCACTAATTAACTCTGGCAAAAAAGTAATTATTAAAATGAAATAAAATAGAAAAATCCAATTGGAGCCTTAAAACACAATAAGGCTTCTTTTTACAATGAGATTAATAGGTAATAGGGTGGGAGTTTCTCCCAGTATTCTGCCCAATAATCCCCCAAATAAAACTGGTCATTCACTTCATGACTGTTTATGGGACATTGCTGTCCTGTGCTCAAATAGGCCGCCTACAAAATGCACATTCACTGTATGTTATAGTATATCCCGTGAAGTGTTATCAGACATTCACCCAGTGTGAAAAGTGCTATAACAAATGCAAGAAATATGGAATGTAATATAATAAATGGAATGTGAAAAACAAAATTGTTGAAATCCATAATGCATCAGAGTACATTCATACCTACATCCATCCACTCCAGTGGTCAGGAGGTGTAGCAGAGAAAGTTAATTTCCAGTTTGCAGATGTTTTCTTACAGAACAGTTGCCTGCTGCTGTGTAACAGACCAGTGTTGTCAATTGCCAATGTATCCCAATAGCTATGACATTTCTGTTTTGATCCTCTCAAATGTTGTTTCATATAAACACCAAAACATTTGAAGCCAGATACTGCCTATCTTGCCTCAGATTGTTGGTTCAATGAATATTTTTGTTCTATTCTCTATTCTTAACTGACAAAATACCACTCAGCTGTCAAGCTGATTTCCCCCTTAACAACATCTGAGCCAATAACAAACAGTCCCTGCTCCCTGGGAAGAAATGAATCTGATCAACTGAAAAATACTTGCATTTGTCTATTCTGAATTTAAAAACAAAAAAAAATGCCAAGAAGAAAGTTATAATGCTACATTTCAATCTTCAAGTGAAAATATTATTTGAATGTGGCAACAAAAGTATTGACTTGGGAGCACACTTCTTATGGAT